ACAATATTTTTTATTACTTACCCTTCATTTTTTTGTTTTTGTTTTTAATCTGCCTGTCTGTCTATCTATACCTATATCCACGTACACATGCAGAGATCTATGATTTATTTTTATTCAAAAGAACATCATGTGTATGTATGTAGAAGGTTTTAAACAATAGCATTAGCTAATATACATTAAGCTTTTATAATGTACCAGTATGATGCTCAGCACTCATCTAACCTAAATAATCGCACGTCACAGCAAAGCTTCAGGTAGGTAATTATTTAACCTGCTTCGCAGCAGGGAGCATCGGCCTGAAGAAGCTTGTAAGCTTGTCCGGAGCCATAAAGCCTGCCATGTCAACTCTGCCTTGCATGCTGCTTCATGACAGTTAACAGTTAACTGTTGAGAGACTGGCTATAAGGCGGCCTCTCAAAAAACAAAAAAACTCCAAATTCATTTCCATCAAGTAAGTCAAGGCTGACTCATGTTGAACCCCTGTGAGTTTCCCAAGCTATAATTGTTTACAGTAGAAAGCCCAGTGGAGCTGCTGGTGGTTTTGAACTGCCAACCACGAGGCTTGCAGCCCAAGGATAACCACCACCAGGGCTCCTAAGGTGACCTCGGACTTAGCAAACATGTCATATGGATGGTGCAAGATTTTTTTTCCCTCCCTCTAAATTGGTGCCCAAGATACAGAGGCATGTTGCACAAGTGTCTTCTGTCCGGGCACCCCACACCCGATAATACTGTTACCCATCTTAGAATTCAGAAGACAGGCAGGTTGCTTGGTATTCTGACTCCTTGTAAACTCTTGGAATCTTGATACTTACTTCCCCAAACTTCGTCTGGTTTTAAAGCAAATTAGAAAATAATTACTGGAATATTGTTCAAACGGTTGGAGAGACCCAGGTCTATAGTTCACATTAAACATTAGCTCATATTGCCCCCAGGTTCAAAATGAATGTACCCAGAAGACATTGACACAGGGGCAGCAATGTTGAAACATTGTAAGAGCAAACAGGAGGAGTCTGTGTGCTGACCCTGAGAAGGTTGTTTTGCCTAAAGTCCCTGTTTGATTTCTCGCTGGTCTGCCCTTCCTGTTTTCTTGTCCTCTGAACTTTTAGCAATCTTGCGCCTAAGCACCCCAGCTCCTTGTTAAATGTGTCTGATACGATGTGTAAAGTCCCCTGCTTTATCCCAGAAGAGGTTACATACATATAGCTTTAATATTCTGGAGGAGCCATACTGCCGTTGTTGACCAATGAGCAAGATTCAAGATTTGGAACAACACGATTTGTTTTGGTCATCACAATTGTTAGTTGGGCTCTTGCCTCTTTTGCGGGGGGAGTGTTCTTTCGGTCTCTCCTTCATGCACGAGGGTTCGGGGTGGTTACCTTTTAGTGCATCCTAGGGGGGACTGGTTTAGCCACCTGTTCTCACTCTTGTTCGTCACCCCTCGGGGTATGAGAATGCAGCTCCATCTCAGCGTGGGAGAAAATGAGTGAGAGATGCTGTCATGTAAGGCCTTAGCTGGTAAAGGCGTGACCCTGTGTACTTCTTCCCCAGGTCAAAGGGAGCCCTGAGGGGACAGCGGTTACAAGTTGGGCTGTGACCTGCACGGTCAGCAGTCTGAAACCACCAGCCACTTCTCGGGAGGTAGATGAAGCTTTCTACTCCTGTAAAGACTTACTTTCTCAGAAACCCAAAGAGACAGTTCTACCTTGTCCTATCGGGTGCTGCTTTGAGTCGGAATCGACCCGATGGCCATGTTTAAAAATTTTTTTTTTTGGTGGGGCGGGACAGGGTGGGGGCTTCAAAGCAAGCATCGTGCAGGAGTGACTTGAACAGGATGTATATCAAGTACATAGGACTGGGCACGTAGATGTTTAATTTCTCACCTGGAAGCTTTGGGAAACTGGATTATGACACATTCCTGGAATCAAAAGCCCTTGTGGAGGAACATTGATCCGTGTAAGCAGTCCCGTATTCTGTAAAACCTTGATCATTGATATGACTGGCAGCATCTTAGAAAAATGGACCTTTTAGGTAGGTTGTGTAACCTCATAGTTGGCACAGGACACAAGTGCGTGCTGCTGCTCTAAGGATGGGGAAAGTTGGGGAAGAGCCCAGCCCAGACTAAGGGAGGGGGGAGGATGAGCAAAACCCAGTGTAAACCGTGTATCTGGGAAAGAGCCACTGAGCGCACAAAGCCCCACCCCCTGAGAGCCTGCGAACCCTGGAGCCACGTGGCCAGGAGCCACAGGAGGCAGTAGAGTCCCCAGGAGCTTCAGTTGGGAGGAGGGGCACAGCCTTCCCCACTTGATACCAGGGTTCAGGAGGACTAAGTCTTTCCAAGGTAAGGAGCCTCCCCTCCCCGGAAGTGGACTCTTCCAGTCCCCCGCATGATTATTCAGGTGTTTTTTCACTTGTCCATCTATAAGAGTCCCTCAGGAGCAAGCTGGAGGCGTGACGCCTCATGTTCAGTCCACTCCTCCTGTCCCGCCTGCGCTCACCTCGCTTTCACGTGCTCCTAGCGGCCAAGCAGGAAGCATCTCTGCGTCTCTGCCAGGGACCAGCCTGCCAGGTTTAAAGCAGAAGCCCAGCAACGTCCCTGGAGTCGTGTGGAGACATGAACGGGCCGGTGGATGGCTTGTGCGACGACTCGGCGAACGAAGAGGGTGCCTTCATGTTCACGTCGGAGTCTGTGGGAGAAGGCCACCCTGGTGAGTAGGTTGGGCTGGACAGATGGCGGCGCTGCACCCAGCTTAGGCCGATGTAGAGCCTAGGGAGTCATTTGTGCAAGTATTAAAGTATCACTAGAGGGACAGTGAAGCGTTGGTCATTTTAACACTTGGTAGTCCCCTATGGACAAATGACAAATCTGTAAGGGAATGACGTTGGGCTCCCTCGCTGCTGCCCACCAGCAGCATCTCCAAACAGGGGACTGCAGTGGGGGGCAAGCGCTGGAGGGCTACACACAACGTGTCCTTAGAGCAGCCGAAGGAGCCCTGGTGGGGCAGTGGTTAGGAGTTGGGCTATTGGCCATAAGGACAGCACCACTCCACTGGAACCCACCAGCCACTCCACCGGAGAAAGACTTGAATTTCTCCTCCTAGCAAGAGTTAAGAGTCTCAGAAACCCCGCAGGAGCACTTCTCCGCTCTCCTATAGGATCACCATGAGTCGGGATTGACTCAATGGTCATGAGTTTGGTTATAGATTGATACATATTTATAGAAACCATATGTGCGTATGTATGTGTGTGCATCTACCCCCAAACATATGTTTTTAGTGTAGCCTTAATCTGTTATCGCCCAGCAGCTTATGTCAACAGAGTCTGTTCCCTCACACAAGGCCATGGGTCACTCAGTTTTGCAGATAAGCACAGGCTGTTTGGAAATGTTTGGCCATGCTTCTAATTGGTGCCTCACAGACCCCCGTGTCCTGGAAGTCTTAGGCAGATGAGCCAAGGGAGATACAGATGACTTGTGGAGGCAGAAGAAAGTCCAGGCAACGGTTTCCCCTGAGAGTTTGGGTGGATAGTGAACTGGGGGCATGAGAGGATCTTCCTTGATAGCAGCAAGAACACTGGTAGATATTCAGAAACTCAACGTCAAGTTCTAGAACACTGGCTACCAGGCTTCCACGTGCACCGCCAT